TGAAAAAATATCTGTCACTAATTAATAAATTTTTATCATTAATTTATTTTATTATTAAGTTTTTTTTGGGTCCAATCACTCTTACACACCACCTTTTGCTAGTTGTATTGTAATGGCTTTTTAATTTTAATCTGCAGAATTTAATTGAACGCAAATAATTATCATAATGTATTTTTTATTTAATGTACTATTGTAATTTAAGTATGTTGATAATATATATTCACACACACACTCACTAATACATATAAATATATAAATAAAAATATATCACTAGTTAATAAATATGTTACTTAATGTCAATTAATATGTTTTATGAAAATAAATATTTGTGCATGACATTTTATATTATCTATGTTATAATTAAAATATGTTCATATGACAAAAATTTTATTTTTATATTTAAATTTACATAATAAAAGAACAATTATTTTTTCTATATCACTTTATATTGTATATTTTACTTATAATAAAAGAAAAAATTATTCTTGTAATTGTGTAATTTGATAACTTTAAAGATTTTTTCATGTGAATCTCTTTACTTATATATTATAATTTTTTATTATTATAAAATATTTAAGCACATTTTATTAATTTTTAATTAAAAATGTCCATCACTGTTTTGTTAGTAATATAAAAATTTAGTGACAAATTTAAATCCATCGCTAAATTTATAAAATTTAAGTAAAATGTGATGACATCTTATATCCATGACTAATTAGTGACAAATTTAATCTGTCACAAATTTTTTGTCATTGATACCTGTAATTAGTGACAAGTTTGAATGCTTGCTATATCTTGTCTCTCTGGTTTGCTGCAATGCTTCAAACCACACGGTACAAGTTTGAGAGTTTGCATACAAAAAAAAAAAAAAAGAAGTGACACGTTGGAGATTCATATCCAATTTTAATTTTTCTTGTAGTAAAAATGAACCATGAAAACTAAAGTTATGGCCTGTCTAGTATAATTAAAACTTAAAAGGAAGAGATTTTCCTGCCTTGCTCATTGCGCCCTAGTTAATTTTATTCATTAAATAATCAAATTAAAGATTTAAACAAACACTTACAAAAAAATCATTTAGATAATTGATGCATATAGATCCATTTTTCAGAGGGAGAGAGGTATGGTTTTAAAATAATTAGTTAAGAGTTGTGTGTGTGAACTGTGGAGTATGAAAAACCAACGGTACTGCTGGTATTTGCAGCAATTGATGATTAGCACGTGATTAGTGAGATCATAATGGAGTTATTGAGGTAATTAAAAGCCTATAAGGCATATTAATGGTATGGGAAGAATGACGAGGGAGATCCTTTCATGGATTTAGTGTATGTCATCTATGTCATGTCCAACAAAAACATGTCATGTCATGTAATGATAGGTATAAATTTATTTTGACATCCATAATGATTAAAAAAAATAAAAGATAATAAAAAATTTTTAAAAATAATAACATATACTCTCTTTATTAAAAAGTAAAAAATAATAAAAATTTTACTATTTAATAAAGCAGTTACTTTATTTTAAATTAATATCATTTTTTTTATATTTATTCTTTTTTAATGTAATATTTTATTTTAAAATAAATATAAAGTGTATTTTTTATTAGGGATACTTTTTTTAAAAAATAATAATTATATATTAAAATATTAATAATATTATATATATTTTTAACATTCAATTTTTTTAAAAAATGCATACATTTTTGAACGCTCAGGTAACTTTTATTTGATTGAAGTAATGTTAATTGACTATGGCATGCCGAGCCGATGCAACACTGCAGTGTTTGAAGAGAATTAGAAAAATAGGGGTGTTCTCCCGTCTTGAATAATTATTGAAATTGAATTTTTATCCTATATTTTATTTTATCTCAAAAATTATCCTATTTTATTTAAAATAGTAATGAGATTGACACAAAATAAGGATGTCCCACCATCTCAATAAAACAGACAATATAAAAAAAATTTAGATAATAATATTTATTAATTAAAAGTTTAATTTACATAATTTATTAAGTTTAAAACCAAACAACAATAATACATAAATCACAACAATTACTGAATTACATTAATGACAATTAAAAGTATATAACTTAAAGTCAATCATGCATGAGACATAATATATTATGATAGTAATTATAAGTCATCTCTAGATTATAAGAGCAACAATAGTCAAGCTTGACACGACATCAAGTCATTATTTTTTTCTTTAATTGAAATATATTAAACTAGTGACTCTTCTTAAAATAAAATAAAAAATATAATATAAATAAAAATTATTAAATAGGTAAATGTAATAATAAATTATATTAATATAATTAATATATTATAAAGAAAGATATTAACATGCATTATTTACTCTATATTATTAAAATTAATAATATAAATAAAAGTTGTAAATAAAATAGTAAATATTGAAATTATAATTAATATAAAAATAAATTATATTAATATAATTAATATATTAAATATATATTTTTAAAATAAAAAATAATATATATTTAATTGAAAAGAAATTGGGATTATTATATGGTTGAATACCACTGGAGAGAGAGAGGGGGGGGGGAGGGAATGATGGGAAAAGCAGAGTTATAATAATCGGAGAGGAGAAGGAGATTATATGTCCTCCTCACCACCCGGCAAGCCCACTTGTCATGCCTCTTTCTTGTCCCCTCTCTTTCCCTTTCTCACCCTCTCCCTTTTCCTTCATTCCCCCTCTTGTCCTCCACTCCAATCACCCCTCCTTAATTCTCAAGGACAGCTTTGACATTTCACTTTTGGGTCTTTCACACTCATCCCGACTGTTCACAGTTGTCTCCTCCACCATAAATTCCCTGATTTCTCCCTATCTCTGCCCTCCCATGCTTTCCTTTAATTCTTCGTACATCGCGTTTGACATCATCCTTTTCCCTTGTTTCCCCTTTCACCTCTCCCGCTTTTATTTCCCACTCAATGACTTTTAACTCCTCATCTTAAACAAATTAATCACCATTCCTTACAAATAAGAGTAAAATATATAACCTTTCATTCCAATTTACTAAAATTACTGAGATCTCTCATTTATTTTTAAAACCTACTCTTTTTATTAAAAAAATATAAAATATTTTTTAAAAAATTAAATGTAAAAAAATATAAGACATTTTTAATATTTTAATGTGCAATCATTATCTTTTTTTAAAAATACTCTCAATAAATAAATTACTTTATATTTATTTTAAAATAAATATTTTATTAAATAGAGATAAATATGAAAAGACAGTGTTAATTTGAAGATAAATAATTATTTTATTATGGGTGAGATTGGATTAAAAATATCTTATGCTTTTTAATGGAGGGAGTACACTTTAATCTAATTATTAACATCATTAGGAATATTCCCTTAAAGATTCTAAAATACTTAATTTTTTTATTTATAATTATGTTAAAAATTTTGAAATTATTAATTTTTCCTTTTTCCTTATAATCCAGTTGTCTACTATCTCTTCTAATTTTTAAAACTTTGAATTATTAAATATATATATAGATATTTGAATAAATGAATTTAAAATTTTTTGTTATAATTAATAAATTTTCAAAAAATGAATGCAAGTTATATCAAGCAATTTAATATATTAAATAGATATTTTATTTCTAGCAAAAAAAATCCTTATTCCATTAATTTTTTAATTCCGTTTTTAATCAATATGTTTACAAAAAGATTTAAATATAAATTAAAAAATATCTACATTAATCTTCTTGGGCAATATGATTAATTTTTATACAGTATTTATATTTAAAGAGAGATATTCTGATCTACATATCTAATATATATGTAGCTTAATTGTCAATTAACAGTGGATAAAAGTAAAAATTTAACAAATAGAAGAAGTACTTGTGTTTTGTAACTATTTATATTAGGAAAATTTATATAGATTTAGAAATAGAAGGGGGTATTGTAATTAAGATAACATAGAGAGGAGATTAGAGTATTTTTTTCTCTAAAAACAATTTATAAATGGGGCTTTTGTATATATAGTCTATGTCATAAGATTAAACTAAGTAAACATTTTAATATTTATTATATTTTATATTATGATTGATTTATTATATTTGTTAATAACATATCGTTATATATTAATAATAAATCTCTTATAAATTTTTATATTTTTAATGATAAATTTCTTGTATATTAATGATAAACTTGTTATATATCCATGTGAATTAGCCATATTCCTAAATTTTTATAAATTTAGTTCATATTTTTTGGGTATAATTTTTTTTATCAGTGAGCCAATTTATCCTTTTATAAATTGAAACTTCGATTAACTGCAGATAAAAATAAAAAAAACTCTGGTTAATCAAAATCATTTACGGTATTTACAATTTTAATTTATTGTAATGTAAAAAAATACAAATATAAAGAATGATTTTGTGAAGCAATTACTTATTCCGTGATCTTAATTTGGATTTTCATTTCTAACATTTTGATGATCAATTTGTTGGTAAAAAAGGATGATCAATTTTATATAATGGATCGTAAAGGTTTTTAAATAAATATGTCTAAAGACTCAAAATTCATTATATTCCAATTCAATTTTAAAATATTAATTGACATGGTTATTTTCAAATTCTAAAATTATTTGAAAATATTCATATATTTTCTTAAAATTCTATAACATACGTAATTACTTATCTCAAGCACAAGTCCTTATGCGTAATTTCTCTTTCCTCGGTTGTTTCTTTTTTGCCCATTTCGCTTCGTTATTCGTATTTCATTTAGTTTTCAAAAGGGCACAGCCTAAAGCATTTGTTGCTTTGTGCTTAATGGAAGGGCCCTGAGCTTTCTCTCTCTTTCTGCTTTTCCCTTCAATGCCTTTGCTTTGCATTTTCCTGCGAAAAAGTTTCTGAAGAATAATCGGAGGTTTTCTTCTCTGCTGATCTACCAAGACTACGTTTGGTTTGTACTTGAAATCTTCCTCTCCACCTCTTCCTCTACATCTTCAGCTCTTTGTTTTACTTGAATCACAGTAATTAGAGTTGAAGGTCTTGTAACGTTAGGGAACGTCTTACTCTTCTCTTTTCCCACTTTCAACTAGAATGTGCCTTTTTAGTTTAGACTTGAAATCTTCCTTTCAACTTTTTATTTTTTTCTTGCACTCCCTTTTTCTGAGCGAGCACGCCTATGGGAAAAATATCTGATGTTTCGTGGTATTTTTTATGTTTTTTTGGACGAGCGATCTTGTGGATTTATTGAGCTGCAGTTCATTCAATAAAGTAATGATTTCGTTTTCTTATTTTTCTTTTTGGTGTTCGTTTGCGATAAAACTGAGCGCTTGAAGCCTGGTAGAATTTTAGTTTGGAATAAAAAATGCGGCAATGAAGGAGGAAACTGAAAGGGCATGTGATCTTACTGGCTAAACGAACTTAGCTGATTACAGTATTAAGAGTACTGCTCTAAATTGAAACTTGCCTTGAATCCGCGGATGAACTCACCGACTTGGAGGGAAATGATTTGAGGTTCTTCGTATGCTTGCTTTTGAAAAATGGCTTCCTTGTGTTGGAGTTTAACATTCTAAATTTTTCTCTACCGATTTTTGTGGCTTCTTCCTTTTCGCGTGAAGGGCTGGGATGCAACTCCAGTAATGAGTGGAGTAGGGATTGATGGTTCGAAGGTCTCTAGTTTATTTAGAAATAATTTCTTACTTGATTATGATTATGTTTTAGAAGGTTATATGTTAAGTTCATTTTGCATTCGACTCTGAAATTGCATGACGGCAAATTACACGCCTCTGTTCCCTTTTTTTTAGCTATAGCGCCTATTTTTCTTTACGAAATCCAGAACGATACTTTGTAAGTTTTGTCTTCATTTTGTGGTTTCATGTGGGCCAGTGTGTATAGTTGGAGCCTAATGTCTTCGCCAGTTCTGACTGCTCAAGAGGAAGGGGAGAACAACACGTCAACAGTAACTTCTTCACGATCCTTGGATCTTACCTCCCAAAATGCAACTGGATTAAAAGAGCGCAATTACCTAGGGTTATCAGATTGCTCATCAGTGGAGAGCTCTACTGTTCCAAGCGACTCTGATGAGAAAAGGGACAATCTAAATTTGAAGGCTACGGAATTGAGGTTGGGTCTTCCAGGATCCCAATCACCTGAAAGGAATGATAGCTCGACAAAACTTAATGAGAAGCCACTGTTTCCTTTGCTTCCAACAAAAGATGGAATCTGCTCATTGTCCCAGAAAATCGTGGTTACAGGCAACAAAAGGGGATTCTCTGACACCGTGGATAGGTTCCCTGAGGTAAAAATTTCCTCCTAAAATTAAGGGGAACACATGTTTTATATTGCATTGGAGTATGATTTCCCAAAACCCGTGGTACAGATGAAGTTTCCCGGGAATTCAGGGGTAAATGTGCTGCTTTCTCCTAGATCTGCTAGAGCTCAGCCAACAACAACAAAAGAAATGCCGACTAAGGTATTGCGAGAACGGCCTTGTGCAACTAATGGAACAGGCCATAACAAAACGGATGCTTCTATTGTTGGCAGTGCTCCTGCCTCTAAGTAAGTAAAACCTAAAAGATTAGTTGGTTAATAGTTTTTAGGAGCATCTGGAATTTCGATAACCCTATTCAAAAGATTGAAGGAATTTCAATTTATCACTGGTTACCCCAATAAATCCCAACTATTTCAGGGCACAGGTTGTTGGTTGGCCTCCAATAAGGTCATTTAGGAAGAACTCGTTGTCTGTCACTTCAAAGAACAATGATGAAGTAGATGGAAAACCGGCTCCTGCTGCTCTCTTTGTGAAGGTGAGCATGGATGGAGCTCCCTATCTAAGGAAGGTTGATCTGAGGAGTTACAACACATACCAGGATCTGTCTTCTGCCCTCGAGAAGATGTTCAGCTGTTTTATCCTAGGTGAGCTGCCACAAGCCTAATTTTATTTTGACAACAAAGCTACTTCCTTCTATAAATTTTGTAAAGCATTTCATCATTACACTATTTTGTACTCCAAGCTGTATCTTTGGAATGTGGATTTACTACACGTTCTATAATATGTCAGGTCAATGTGGTTCCCATGGAGCTCCAGGAAGAGAAATGTTGAGTGAGAGCAAGCTAAGGGACCTTCTGCATGGTTCAGAATATGTACTCACTTATGAAGATAAAGATGGTGATTGGATGCTTGTTGGGGATGTACCATGGGAGTAAGTTTTTCGAACTATCCATGTCCTTGTCTATCATTTCATAAATCTTGTTTCATAAAACACTAGGGCAAGATGCTTTAGCAAGAATGTGGTGCAGTGTTTTGTGTTCTTTTCTTCTGTTTTTTTTATAATCTATTGAACTAGCAAAAATGTTCTTCCATTGCCTATGAAGAATGCAACATTTCTAATATAACCTAAAGACTATACGTTTGGCTGTGTCACCTTCTATGTGATGTGTTGTGTCTCATGCATGCCATACTAGGTAAGGTCATGTATTGATTTCTGTATGTGATTTTGTGTGATGGGCCATTTGACAAAGCAAGTAAAATCTGCGTGATTGATCTTACTATGATACATCATACCTCTATTTTTAATCATTTAATGGACTTGTGTTAAGTTATAAGCAAGGCCTTGACCATGGCCAAAGGATTTTGCTCGTGAGTAGAATTGAAGGCTAATTTTTTTCATGTGTTAATGGGCTTGTATAAATTGGCTTTTGAACATGAACATCATGTGGATAGCAACTGTATTTCTGATGGAATGGATTCTGTACCTGCCTCTAGTTTGCCTCCCTTTCCTAGTGCAATTTGCTTCTGTTGCAGGATGTTTATTGACACATGCAAGAGGCTGAAAATCATGAAAGGATCTGATGCCATTGGCTTAGGTATGTATTGTCAATGATAATTTATTGTCGTCTTTTATGCATGTTAACTGATGGCTATTATAATGTAAAATAATGGACTGGGACCATTTGCTTTACATGAGACAGCAACCGTGTCTAAAGGCTGGTATGCGGCAGTAGATGGGACCTAGATGCGTTTAAACGAGGCCATTAAACCTTGAGACTCTGTAAATAAATGCCATGCCATATGATGTTACTTTAGACTTTAAATACACACACACACACACACATGACTAGGGACAAAAATTGCTTGTGCTCTATGAAATGCAACTTTTTTATAACTAAATTGTCTGTATTGTTTGTTGGTTTTGGTAGATTATTCGTAGAGTTGTATGAAAAAATTGGGAAGAGTAGAATTTATTGCATTGGATTGGACTTGTCGTTGGTATTATTATTAAGGATTTTTGGGCTTGTTTGGCAACTTGTTCTTGGATCAGTTTTTTGTTTTCTAGAGAAAAAAAATTCTGTTTGGTAATATGTTTTTAAAAAAATGGATATTGTTCTAGGGAATAGAAAAACGAAACATTTTTTAGATGTTCTAGGATTATTGTTCTAGAATATAAAGAAGAATGCGACTAACACTTGTTTTCATTATCTTTTTGTCCTCCGAATATGTTCTACAAAACACTAATTCTCATAAAAATAAAACAGCAGTAGTTTCAAACAAACTCTTAGTTTCTATGTCAACCTCTAGTTGATTGCCTCTATCTCTTGGAGAAATACAAGTCAATTGGGAAAATGATAATTAGGGATTCCATAAGGCCACTAATTACAGTTAGGAATCCTAAATTATTGAAATTCCAGTTCCAATTTTGGACTGTGATCCTTGGAATTAAAAAAAGAAAAAAGAAAAAAGCGAGTAGTCTAAAATGTTCGGCAGAAGTGATAATAGTAAAATTTCCAGGTGATTATTGTATACTCACAAGTTTCTTTGAAAGGTTTCAAGTGAGGTTTAGTTTCATATTGGGAAACATTCAATTTTCAACTATCCTTGGTTTCCCAACTAAGATTAATAATATTCTTATCCTATGTTACTTTTAGCAGCATCATTTATTTATTTTTTAAGTGGAAGGTAATTTTGTAAACTCATGTGTTTTTAATTCCAAGTAAAAATGATGGCCAATGATTGGGATTTTAATAATTTAGAGTCTCTAGTTGAAATTAATGGTCTTGTTAGGTTTTTAATTGTCATTTCTTCAAAGTTAATTCAAACTAAGCTGATTTTCAAGTGTATCCCGTGCATTCTTATTAGTTTATTCTGTAATTTCAAATGAAATATCTTGTCTGCTTTAGTGGATCCTTTTTCTGCAGCTCCCAGGGCTATGGAGAAATCCAAGAGAAGGAGCTAGAATGATGTGGTGGACTAATGGCTCCTTTGTCTGCAAAAATTCAACGCCGCATCTGAGGACATGTGGAAACCGAAGTACGCTGTGGATTACTGAATTCCGGCCTTTGACGGGGAGTCAAAAATACAAATGTGTGTTTTCAATACCCTTAAAAGTTGTGTTGGATGTTAATTTGTTATTATTTGAAATATATTATTGTTCCTTCAAAGTTAGCAATTGTGAAGTCTAATTAATTAGTCTTGGTGGGAACTTGTGTGTTTAAATGGGTTGAATAATTGTTACGATCAAATTGAAGATCGCCAATATTATATCCGTGTGTGATTTGACACCCGTCATGTGTGTTTTGTTCTTTTCAACACTTCCCGGAACATTATTTCGGGGCCACAGCCCTGAGTCCACGCTCCCTGCCCTTAGATTTCTCCAGATTTAAATTACTCCGTGGCCTTTAATTTTAGCTTTTATTTTTCTTTTTATTGTCACTTTATGAACGTTGTTCGAATTTTCGGTTCCTCCCAAGGCTGCATTTAAGGGTGTACCCCTGTCTTGTGTTCCCTCTCAAAAAAATATTGGAACTAAATTTTGGTCCTATGTTTGGTTTTGTTTTGAAATTTGTCTTGTCTCGTTAAGAATTCAAATGGGTCCATGATAAGATTGGGATGTTTAGCCATCTTGATAAATCGAATGATGTGAGAAAAACGTCTAGATAATAATATATATTAAAATTTTAAATCACATAATTTATTGAGTTTAAAATTACAATAATTTCAGTACATAGATTACAATTTAAAATTAATTATTAAATTATATTAATTACAATTACAAGTGTATAATACATTATGATAGTAACTATAAGTGATCACTACTATAAGAGCAATAATAACGGACAAATCAAGCATAATATTAAGTCATTATTTTTTTTATAGTTAAGATATGAAAATAAAGTTAAAAATACAGTATAAACAAAAGTTATTAAATAAATATATATAAAAATAAATTATATTAATATAATTAATACATTATAAAAAAAATATTATCTTGTACTGCTTACTTTATAAATCTATAATTATATATTATTAAAATTATCAATATAAAAAACTTTTAATTTTAAATAAGAATTGCACGAATTGAAATTATAATTGATATAATTAATATAAATATAAATTATATTAATATAATTAATATATATTTATAAACTAAAAAATAATATATATATATATATATATAATATTCGGGATAGAACGGGACATCTTGAAAGAAATCCTGTGTTTCATCCCAATATGACTGGGAGGAAATCAAACTAATGAGAATAGGTATAAGTTGAACATCTTTTGTTACATTTCACCTTATGGCGCACGCTGCATTACAGTGAGTGAATTTATTAACCTTGCCGATGCCCATTGGTTTTGGTTTGCAGGTTTAAATTTTCAAGTTGCATATTTGCTTAATTTTCTCTTTTTTGTTTTCGCTTTGGTATCTTCAATTTTTGCCCCAATCTGATTTGGTCAGTCGTTTGCAGGCATTATTGTAGTAGCATACCTCTCAAAAAATTTAATCATTGTCGCATGTCTTGGATTCAAATTCGAGACTCTTGATTGGACAATTTGATCTCAATACTGAAAAAAAAAAATTTACGTACTCATATATTATGCTTTCAAAAATATTTTCCTAAATGTTATAAAGCAGAAACTTAATTTATATCAAAATGAAATTCAAATTCTTTTTACATATAAAAGTACAGAACTTAGCCTCAATCAAGCCAAGTTCAGTACTTATAATTACACATAAAAAAAAGTCTATACCTAACTTAGGATAGCCTATCATTTTCTCAAGTGTCTCTCTCACTCCCTACTGCCTACTTCCTCTCTCCATCTTTGTGTGTGTGAGTCATGTATATATTGACGTGTTGTGTATAATATGTGGTGGTGTGGTTTTTTTTCTTCAACATATAAGTGGCCACCACATATTATACACAGCATACCAATACATATACCAATATATATATGACTCACGCATACAAAGAAGGAGAGAGAAAGTAAGAAGTGAGAGAGGGGTATTAAAAAATTGGAATGATAGGCTATCCTAAGTTAAGCATAGAACTTCGTAGTTATGAGTATAGAACTTGGCTTGATTGAGGCCAAGTTCTGTACTTCCATGTGTTAAAAAAAAAATTGAATCTTAGTGATATAAATTGAGTCTCTATTTTATAACATCTAGAAAAATATTTTTAAAAATAAAATATATAAGTAAATAATTTTTTTTTTAATATTGAGGTCAAATTGCCCTCTTGATTGAGTTGGATCAAACTTTTAATTAGTTGATTCAAGCATTTAATTTATATTAGAATGATGTGGTTGTTACTCAAATAATTAATAATTAACTTTTTTAAAAAATGGGGTCGTAACAGCTACTTTCTCGAAAATTTAACAATTTTTGCCTTTTCATCTGCCGAGCAGATTATGTTTGCCCTATGGCTTGGAATAAACTGTTTCACTTTGCATAGAGTAAGAGGTGAGTGGTATACCGGCATTGTTTATGGCATATAAATGGCGAGGCTCGTCATAAATTTTATACTACAATTTTTTTTTTGAGAAATAATTATCAGTGGCAGGGATTTAGCGGGGGCGTAATTTTTCCGTTATAATAAATCTCCCACTAGACTTTGACTTTTCAAAAGTGCATAGCTCTATCTATGATTCACAAACCGATTTTTAGTATTTACTGTATATTCTAGATTGCATGTAAATATATGGGATCCATTCATGTTATGCCTTTTTTTAAGCCCGTCATTACTAATGTTGGTTTTTGTTAATAATGCAAGATATCAGACCCCCCAAAAAAAAAAAGAAAGTAATGCAAGATATGGATTTGAATAAATCTCAAGTTTGTGTGAAGAATTAGTTATCATCAAAATAATCATAACCTGAGTGACCATGGTTTGTTGTGTCTTGTATGTTCAAGGGATTAAAATAGCGTGTACACTTGTCGGTGTGGTGGGATTGCGTAAGGAAACTCGTTCCATACAAGAAAATTTTAGTAGTGTTCATATGTATGGTTTGATTTCATTTTGATTAAAATTAAACTTGAACTAAATCAAATTGATCAATATGCACTAAGAATAATGCTTGATAAGTTTTTTATTTAAGTCCGTTTGGTTCGATTTGGTTTATTTATAAATCAAGTTTCAATATTTTTTTTAATGTATGTATGTAAATGTATACCATGTCTAAATATAATGTTTTTCTTTTTTTGTTTTTCCTCTTCTTGTTCTAACTTCAAGACACATCCACTACATCATCTTAGTAAACATGAGAGTATAATCATATGAAAGATAAGATAATTCTTGGAGTAAAAACAATTTAACCTCGTTGTTAAAGTTTAACATATAAAAAGAAAGAAAATGTATTGAAATAGTACTCTAAAATATTGGTTATAAGATATAAAAGTCATAGCATAACTTTCATATATAAAATGAGAGGGTTAGAGATTCTATTGACTTTTAATGAAAAGTTTTTACTGAGAAAACAATGTAATGTCTCGGGCAATTGAATTATTAAAAGGTGTTAATGGATACTTTGGTTTTTCAAATTTTGAAGTATTTGAGACTAGGCTTTAATTAAAATCAAAGTTAAAAAGTAATAACTAATAGACTAATATTTTAATCCAGACATAGAAAATACATTTAAAAATATAAAAGGTATGATTTATATATGGTTCAAATTTCATAGGAAAAAAATTCAAAACCTAAACCAAACCATTTGATTTTAAAATTTCTAAAGCCAGCCCAAATTTTTTAATAATGTTTTGATCGGTTTTTGTTTAATTAGTTCAGTTTGGTATTATATGGTGGGTTTTGATCACCCTCATAAGAAATCATGTCCGTAGAATGTAATCAAATGTTAGAATAGTGAGGGACATGACTTATGTATGACGCAGTTGACTATTCTTCTTCAACTTTAGTGTGAGGCTAATTTGCAAATAGAAATCTCTGCTAGGAGCGTAGGAACAAATTATGTCGAACCCAACTTTATAACATGGCTATTTATTTTTTTAAAAATTTGAAACGAGTCGTATTGTTAATAACATGTAGATAGTGTAATTTTTATTATAGAATTTATATTATACATATATCTACATAAAAATTATGATGGAGTTGGCCACTGTTTTTTCTTTTAATTGTAATGCTTAATTCCATTATTTATTTATTTTTTTGGTGTTAAGTTAGAATGTCTGATTTTAGTTGTGTCGTGTAATATTTTAATGGAATTTCCTTTAAACTTTATTGGTGCGCCTGACATTTATATAATACTTTCTTCGATCTTTTTTTATAGAGCACTTTTTAAAATAATTTTTTTATACGTAATATAAAATACATAAAGGATTGTTTATTACTATTTTCCAATTTCACCTCTCTCTTCCTATTATTAATATGGATACGGTTGAAAAAATTTATTTTAAAACATATTTAATAAATTAATTGTTATTACTTAATTTTAATAAAATAGTTGACAGTATTTTATAATAAAAATGGGAGGAGCTATATCTAATATGATATTCAATGAAATGTGATGTTGACCGGAAAACAAAGAAAGACAGCTGATAGAATTTCTCGAATTTTCTTGGTTCAGGTTTCAACTTTTCCCCATTTTGAGACCTCAAGTTTTATTCGCGCAAGTCTTAAACAAGGTATTTGTTGAAATATTGGATTGTTCACGAAAAAAAAAAATATGTTATGAATAAAATACAAAGATGGTGTAAATGAGAAGAATGAGAAGGAAGAAGAGGATGATTAAAGGCAATAGAATGAGGATGATTTCTTGTATTCACTTTTATAGTCACAATACAAATGAGATGCCTTATATATAGGCAAACACTTTCAATTCAAAAGTCTCAACGATTGATTTTGAAATAATTTATCATAAAAAAATATCAATTCTAAGTGAAAGATGAAGCTCAAGAATTTCACCTTTGAGACATGTGAATAATATGGAAAGATGAACATTCATATAATTATGACGTGAGGAGATGGATATCCACACATAATATTAATATTTATAACACTTCTCATTGAATAGCCCTCATATAAGAATCTAATTCATAAAAAACCTCAACTAAACAAAGCCTTTTGGAACAAAAACCTAGCAAAAGAAAAGAGTAGATTATTCATTTATATGTTATCCAATGTTGTTTCATTAAAAACCTTATCAAGAAAATTTAATGAAAGAAAACTTTGGTTAAAGAAAAAAATACAGCATGTATTTTCTCCTCCTAATGATGACATTACTTTTAAATTATTATATTTCAAGATAATATATTAATTTTTTAAATATGAT